GTTGAAATGTAGACAAAACTCTCTCATTTCATAGATATTTCGTAGATTTCACGTAGAAACCGTGATAATACGTTGAATTTCTACGTTTCGAAGATGTTTGCGTGTAATATTAGTATTTCTCTTTCCTGTTTCGCCAAAACTTTATAATATGTTTCGTTTCCCGTCTTTGGAATTGATCTCTAAGTCATCGAGTTCTACGTCAATACTTCGCCGCAAATCTACTACGTCACTCCTACTAAGTTCCTACGTCAGGAACGCAACCACTACGGTCTAGCTCTTCATATATGCGCTCCAATTTGAGATTCGCAAGCCAATAATATAGTGTTGGGTACCGCAATGGACTAAGATCGAATACAAGTTCCAAGAAGTGAACTCTCATGTCCGGAAGGTGGTTGTTGGCCTAGTCACACGATACTTGCGATCGTGAGGTTAAGCGACCTTCGATGTAAACCTATAGGATGGGGGACCGCTTCTAAGCCCAGCCCCATCGTTCCACCCAACTTGCGTCTGAGTCAGGGGTCGCCACCGTCAGCCCCACTGATGTGTCTGGTGGCGGCTCCGAGACGATACGCTTCCATTACCATGATCCCTACCTTATCGACACGAACCCAATAGTGCGTTCACAGGACAGCGAGGACCTGAGCAGCAGGCCGAGCCCGGCCACAACAATTTTAACATCAAAATGGAAGTCCTGGTCCGTGATAAATATCACAGATATTTTGTAGATTTCTCAACGAAGAAGTAATAATACGTCGAATTTCACTGTTTCGACGATGTTTCCGTGAAATATTCACATTTGCCTTTGAAATTTTGCCATAACATTCTAATTTCATAGATATGTCATTTCATATTTCAGATAGACATTTCGATGAAATATCCGTATTTCTCGCTGTAATTTCTACAGAACTTGCTAGTTTCATATATATTTCGTAGATTTCACGACGAAACAGTAATAATACGTTCAATTTCTCTGTTTTGACGATATTTGCAGAAATTATTCGTATTTATCGTTGCAATTTCGCCAGAATTTGCTAATATCATAGATATTTCGTAGATTTCACGATGATACCGTGATAATACGTGTAATTTCTCTGTTTTTACGATGTTTTCGTGAAATATTCGTATTTTTCGTTGTAATTTCTACTGAATATCACGTCCCGGCTAGTCGTTCGACGAATTTATTGCATGACAGAGACTTCCAGCAGAGAATCGTGTCGTATTGCAATCCCTTTTGTCCGGCTGGTGCGTACGTCCAACTATGACAGGGAATCCGTGTATTGTCAAGGTTCACGTGACGGCGTCGTCGTGAAGGTGATAAGATTCAGCTTCTACTCTAGGTGCGTGGTCGTCCTTTCTAGATCTGTCGCATGTTCGAGAGGAAATCGGCTGATATCTTCTCGTTAATGAAGTTCACGCACGAGTTTACGTAATTGATATTTCCTGCCTCTGCGTCGCGTACATGACATCTATCAGATTGCTCGTGCGCGCAATTGAGAGTGCTGTGAAGCTGTGTCTGCACCACCGAGTCTCTTTCGCACTGGATTCCTATTGATCAACAATGGTTTTGCAGCTTTGTCTGCACCGTCCGTCGTTGGTGAAGAATAGGAGTCGCACGTGATACAAGAACTAGCATCTCGCGAACATTGAACGCGGGTAGGAACCGTAGGATTACGTGAAATTGGAATAAATCAACTGGGAATGTGTGAATATAATAAGTAAATTCTTAAGGAATACGAACTACACTTGACCTGATCTAAGAGATTGAATCGCGTCGGACTCTTCTCCCGGTTAGAGAGCAGATCTTGAGCAACGGTATGCTGGAGCAGAGAGCTTTAACTAACGGAGCTGCACTCGCTGTGGAGCAGCTTGTATTGGAATTAGAGATAACTCTAGATTTAAATTTAGACTGGCTTTACTAATTAAGCGTTGGCCTATTCATACTGTGATTTATCACTATGTTTACAATCTTTGTTTTGGAATCTGAAGTCGTGTGGGTCGAGGGTTCGACCGCACATGATGGGGGTAGGTGTACGCAGCACCCGTGGTGAGATAAAGGGCAGGTATAGTGGAAATCTCTATGGAGGCCGGATGTTATGGTTCAGCTTGCGTTTCTGTTTAGTGGTCGATTGGCGGTGAGTGATTTGCAGTTGAAGAGTTTATGTTTCACTTAGGTTCTGTAAATTCTTAAAATTTGTTGAGCCGTTGTTGTCGTGGCTGAAGAATTCATGATGATTAGGGTTTCTCTTGCACTTGTATCTAATTGAAAAATGTTAATGAAGGGTCTTTCTAGGAATGCAGATCTGGAGTCTTGAGGCTATGGTCTTGCATTGTGTCTTAGAATATGTTTGGCTTAAGTCTAAACGCATATCCTATTCAGCGTGACTCTTATAGCTATTTGATTACATACTCCTAAATGCTACGTGATACATATGTGATTATATGTATGTGCGCTTAAGCTACCGAAAGCAAACGTTGGTCGTTCAACGTCATACTGTCGAAACTGAGAAATTCTACGTATTGTGACGTCGGACGACCGACGTTTGTCTTCGGTAAATTAAGCACATATACATATACCCACACGTATATCACGTAGCATTTAAGAATATGTAACCGAATAGGATATGCGTTTAGAATTAAGCTAAACATACTCTCAAGCCTCCAGACCTGCGTTCTTCGTAAAGATTTTTCCACTAGACACTTGTGCAACCATTATAAATCCTTCAATCATTTTAATAACAGCTCCAATCCTAAGAAACTCCTATTCACAAATCATAAGCGTAACCTAAACTCTCTACCAATTGGCCGTTAAACGTCAAACGAAACCATACATTCGGCCTCCATAAACATTCTCATAGTCTCCGCCTCTTATCTCGCCACTGGCAGTCCGTGCGCTTACTCCCACAATGAGCGCTTGACTCTCGCCACTCCAAATTCGCTCGACGCTCGCCACTCCAAAACAAAATATTGTAAACATAAACAGTAGTGTAAATAGGCCAGCGCTTAGCTAGTAAACGTACTCTTATCCCGAATCTTAACCAGTCTCTAAGCCTAGAATAAAGTCTAGAGCTATCTCCGAGTGATTACGCTGCATCATCGCGGGTGCAGTTCCGTTATTCTAAGTTCTCTGCTCGAACATACCGTAGCTCGAGAACAGACCTGCTCTGACTCCAATCGTAACAGAGACTTCCGCGTATCAATCTCTCATGATAAGTCTAGTTTATCTTTTAATTCTTAAGAACATAGTTATTATAATTTCATATTCACTCTCGATTTATTCTAACTTCATATACTCTTAAGAATCTTATCCGCATCCAGCATTCACGAGTTAATTATTCTACCGTCACATGCTCTTACGATTCCTATTCTTTTCCAAAGACGGACGGTGCAGACACAGCTGCACAGCTCTCTCCTAAGCGCGCTTGAGCAATCAACAATCCGATATATGCCACGTACGCGACGCGCAGGCAGGAATATCAATTACATAAACGCGTGCATGAACTTCATTAGCGAGGAGGTATCAGCCGACTTTTTCTCTGTGTTGAACGTGCGACAGATCCAGAAAGAATGACCACTTATCTGCAGTGGGAGCAGTTCCGATAACCTTCACGACGACGTCGTCATCCACATGAACTCCGACATCCACGGATTCCCAATCATAGTCGAGCGTGCATGCCGGCTGGACAAAAGGGCTGCATAACGAAACGATTCTCTGCTGAAAGCCGCTGGCGTGCAATAAATTCGCCGAACGAACAGCCGGAACGTGATGTTATAACTCTTTCGTCTTAATATTTACGAAATATCTATAAAATCAGCAAATTTTGGAAAAAAATAAGAAAAGTACGAATATTTCTCATTAACATCGTCTAAACAGAGAAATTTAATGTATTGTCATAATTTCGTCGTGAAATCTACGAAATATCTATGAAATTAGCAATTTATGTCGAAATTACCTCGAGAACTATGAATATTTCACGATGACAACTTCGAAACAGAGGAATTCAACGTATTATCACTGTTTCGTAGTGAAATCTACGAAAAATATGTGAAATTAGTAAGTTTTGTCGATAACAAATCTAAAATTACGAATTTTTCGCGATAATATTGTCGAGGCTGAGAAATGCAACATGTTATCACTATTTCGTCGAGAAATCAGCGAAATATCTATGAAATGAGAAAATTTGGCGAGACTTCGACGATAAATGCGAATATATCATCGAATCATTGTCGAAACAGAGAAAATTAATGTATTATCTCTGTTACATCATGAAATCTACGAAATAACTATGAAATTAGCAAGTTTCTGTAAAAATTCAACCAGAAATGCGAATATTTCACGAAAACATCCTCGAAACAGAGAAATTTAACGTATTGTAAATGTTTCGTTGTGAAAACGAATTATCTACGAAATTAGCAAGTTTTGTAGGAAATACAGCGAAAAATACGATTATTTTACGAAGGTATCGACAAAGAAGAAAATTTCCTCGAATTATCTCGGTTTTGTCGTGAAACCTACGAAATTTCAATGCAATTAACAATTTTTGTAGAAATTACATCAAGAATAAAGAGTTTCACGAAAACATGGTCGCTGAAGTATGCACCATATTATCACTTTTCGTCGTGGAATTTACGAAATATATATTATACTATCAAGTTTTGACGATATTTCAAAGAAAAATACAAATATTACTTGATAATTTCGAAGGAACACAGAATTTCCACATATTATCGCTGTTTCGTAGTGGAATCAACGAAATAACTATGAAATTAACAAGTTTTGTTGAAATAACAGCGAGAATTACGAATATTTCACGAAAACGTTGTTGAAACAGTGAAATTCAACGTATTATCACTGTTTCGTTGTGAATTCTACGAAATATATATGATATTAGCAAGTTTTGACGAAATATCAACGTTAAATACGAATATTATATGAAAACGTCGTTAAATGAGAAAATTAGCATGTATTATCACAGTTTAGAATTGGAATCTACGACATATCAATGGAATTAGCAAGTTTTGGTGTAATTTCCAAGATAAACACGAATATATCACGGAAACATTGTTGAAACAGAGAAATTCAATGTATTGTACATTTTTTAAATGTATAACAAAGAATAAATATTATTTATCATTTTCCAAATAATACGTTCCTCCGACACGAATCGTTGCTTACATATAGTGATTTAAAATATTCTATTGGGTTGGTGCATAATTATTGCGCATATTTTCACGACTCCCTCGTCTTGAAAATTCGCGTTTTGTTTATGCCTTTTCTTTACAACAATAATCCTCTCTTTTTAAATAGTGAAAATACGTATCAAAAATCATATCCGTATTCGCCATATTATGCTCTACCACTTCGAGACAGGTTAGAATGCAACATTTCGCGATCTTAACGCACTTTTTGGAGAAGAAACAATCAGCAAAAGCTAAGTTGAAAGATGGTTTAAGAAGTTCAAATCGGGCGATACAAACCTCGTAGAAGAAAAAGGAAGAGGTCAACCATCAAATTTCGACGTCCAGGCACTTTTGGCAGCTGTGGAAGAGGACAAAATTTTGACAATGAGAATGTTGGCCGAAGATTTCAATGTGGATCATTCGACCATCGTTCGTCGTCTCAAAAAGCTCGGAAAAATATGGAAATTGGCTGTATGGGTCCCCCACGAATTCTGACATTCACCATCTACTTCAATTACTGCTTCC